CCCCCCCCACTGATGGAGCACCACAGTTTCTTTAGAAACTTACCCCTTTTATTCAGTGATGAATTACACATGCTATGTTCTGCCTCATGGGCTGCAGCTTTTTCAGTTATCATTGGCCTAGCAAGCTTTACATGTGTGGAACTTCTGGGTTACCGTAGTTATTCGACTATAAGCTGACCTTGGCTATAAGTCGAGGCCCTAAACTCGTGAGACATGATAGTTGGTGAAAGCTTTACGAAAAAAAAATCGGAAAAATATCGGCTATAAGTCGAGGCCCTAAACTCGTGAGACATGATAGTTGGTGAAAGCTTTACGAAAAAAAAATCGGAAAAATATCGGCTATAAGCCGAGACCACATTCAGAGAATTCTATTCTCGAACAAACTGAAATGATCGCAAAAATTAATTTTCAAAACAGAAAAGAGTTTCAATGCAGTATTGCCGTCGATAACACATTCCAAGATAACCAGAGAGTACAGTCATCAGAGACATCAGTGAGTCGCTAGAGGAAAGATCAAGAGAATCTCTTTCATGGAGAGCTCGAGATGTCAGCGAAAAGTACAATGATGGGCCGTTACACTCAGAAATATCCACGGTTGAATGAGAGATTACTTGATTAGTTTACAGAGCAGAGAAACCAAGAGTAGTTTTCTTTTTACACGATCGCAAATTTCAACACCGTAACATGTGATGATCGACGAGTTTGTTCACCAATCGTGGGATGAGCAATTCTGATTGGTCCGTTTCGAAATTTTTAAAACACTTTTGCAAGCTCTGTCCACTCGTTCAAAACCTGCAGAATCTCTGATGCTCTAGACAGCATGGAAGATGAACTAACCTACTCGGAATAAACCGCAGCACTAGCGGATGAGGAGGAGATGGACGATGAATTCCACACCGACACTGAGGACGAYCAATAAGCCGTATTTACTACGTGCCGAAAACAACAAACTGCTCCTTTGGAAGCAACCACACATTTAAAGTCAATAACCAACTTAAACTTGTTTTGTTATTTACTTCTGCATGCAATATCTCGGCTTATAGACGAATATATCTATGTTTCCTTTGAATTTGCTGTTTTGAAAAAATTGTGTTTTGAAAAACCCTTCTCTGGCTCAAATTTTTGAGATTTTGGTAAAGTTGTGTGAAAAAATTGCTCAGCTTATAGTCGAATAACTATGGTAATCCTTGTCTTTGCCATAACAAAGGATTTGTAACAGAAAATTAAGTGTTCTCTCATTTGTTGTTGCACAATGGATGCTCTTCTGAAGTGGATAGCAACAGTTCACCTACATTGTAGATACTGCTAGTTGACTGGATTTGCATAACTAAGCTGTAATTGGTTGGTTTTTCACGGACCCATTCAGTAAATTTGATTAAATGTTGTTCCCTTGGAAGGGGGGGGATGGAGAAGGGGGTAGGAGGAGAGAGGGAGTGGAGGAGTCTTCTTTGTTTGAGTCACCCAAGATTACACTGTAGATGTGAAATCCTCCAGACATCACCCTGACCTGGCCTATCACATTTAAGTGTCCTTCCTATCCTGATTTACTACACCAGAAATGTCAGGATGAATCTATCTTCTAACCTGTAATTTCCCATTTCGAAATTGATTGCTAACTATAATTATTTAATTTATTACTTCTAAAAAGAGCAGTATGATATAATAATGCTTAAATTGTAACTCTGACCACTCAAACTTTTCTCTCGTGACCATTTTATTACTTTAAGTTGCCAAATGATGACCTTAAAGAAAACTGAAGCTTTGAGTTCTGTTAAAAAAATGAACAATGACTGTACCTGAAATGAAGGCCTTCAGTATAAATGTTATTTTGGACTCCTCCAATTCTGCTGAATATAATGGCCCTGTGACCGCCCTCAACTGCCAAAAGATAGTTCAACAGATTTGCATGTGGTGAACTGATAATCACAATAATTAGTTAAGCAAGGTAACCTTTGTAATCAAATAATTATAATCTTTTAAATAACCATTGCATTCTTCAGGGGAATCAATAATTAATCATTCTTTCATATCAATAATTTTCAGACAGAAAGATGATGAGGAGAGAAAAAAATAGCAACTGGGTGAGAAAGATGTTTTTCTGTCTTTTCATGAATGAGGGACAAAGAGAAAATTCTGTGTTCAGAATTCTGACCTAGAATTTTCCATTTCTCCCATTCTTGTGACAAGATGAAAAACCATCTTTCTCTACTTTTTTACACAGCTCAAACATCTCTCATTATTATAACCAGGTGTTAAAACTGAAAGAAATCAGAAACCCATATAAGTTTGAGCACCCACCCCCCCTCCTTTTCCAACATTTTCATCCAGAGGAAACAAAATGGGATCAATAAATAAAAACCTTTGTCTAGAAAATATTAATTGGTATTGGACCCAGGTCAGGTAGGGATGGAGAGGAGAGAAGGGAAGCGGGGGGGGGGGAGTGGTGACAAATTTGATCGGCGTACATGTACCTACTCTTCACTGATTGGAAACTATGGAAAAAAGTTCAACTTATTCTAACCAAAGTGAGTTTAAGACGAGATGATACACGTACTAAAACTTGTAAAACGGTGATGTGATATTAAAAAGTTGATGTAACTAAGAATGCACACTTTGTCGTCTATGTACAAATTAAAATTACCTAAGGATCGATGTTCGATGGCATCGTAAAAAAAGAACCAATAAAAGCAATTTGTTTGATTTAAAAATTTGTTTGATGAAAAATATATCCATAAAAGCTACACCAAGAACAACTTGAGGCCACTTAAATGAATTCACGACAGGATACAAACGAAGACAATCGTGATCTTCGATTTGAAATCGTGAACTCGTGGAAAGGAATACCATATCGTGTGCTGAGAAGTGATCTTGCCTCTCGCGGAGTCATTCAGACTGGAATAAAACTATACCTGTGTAAACGGACTCTTTGATTCCATATGCAGCTGCTGCTGCTGCAACTAAAAGTTTTAAACCAGTTCCGGTTCCTTTCGGAGCTTTTCCCATGCGTCCAGCAAACTCAGTGAACTTATCCGCCATCTTGCCTTCCTCACGTGTAGCAATACTCCTTAGATCTGACGTAAGAAAAAAGAAAGGCTGCTAAGCTAAGAGAGGCTACCAAGGTCTCGGGAAAGAAAATGGCGGACAGCGGAGCAAAGAAAGCGAGTGTGGAGTTTTTTCAGCATTTAATCAGTTCTCCGGAAAGGTAAGTCGCTTTTAAAGATTTTTTTAGCGGAGATTGAAATAATATGATTCGAAGAAATACTGTGTTGCTGTTTAGTTGTATGGATGACAAAGTATGTGTGGTGGGGATTTTCGGCAAAGACAACATTGGCTACAAGTCGAAAGCTGTACATCTGAATGGAACCATTGGAAAAGAAGTTTTCAAGGTTTGTTTAAATAATGTACATGTTTGGAAATGAAGTAAATCAGCTAAAACCTTCCTCCCATCGAACTTTTTTGAATGCACTGTTCTCTATGACTGCTACACTGCACTTTAACGTAATAATGACATCAAGGATAAGTGGAAGTAAATAGAGAAAAACGACAAAACTGATTTAAGAATACATGCTATTTTAACCCAAATGCATTTTCATCTCATAGATTGACTTTCTAGATGGTACATTCAAGAAGAAGGATACAGATGAATTTTCAGTGAGTATCTTTTGATTTCAATGCTTTTATATTATTCTAATCAATAACATCAAGGGATTTTGAAAAGTCAACATTCATGTGGCACGAATGTATCCATGCTTCTAGTTTCAACTGATTAGTTGTCACTCTATTATTTCTTTTCCACTGTACTCATGAATTGCATTTTGTTTATTTCAAGTGTGACATTAATGTCTATCATGATGTAGAACAGAGGATCATTTATTTACACCTTGTATCTGTGTATGATGTGTCAAGACTGTTACAACTTTGTAAACAAGCTCCACAAGATGCTCAGAATGCAGTAAGTTTCAGTTTCAAATCTACATGTAGCCTTAGTTTTGGACCATTCTCACTATAATAAGAGAAAACCAGTTAGAAGTACATTTACATGTACTAGCCTGGTACAGGTGACAATATCACTGCCATAAGTATAGCAGGTGAGAACATCATTGCCATAAGTATAGCAATAATGGTAATGGTTAATTAAGAATGAGAACAATAATGACACAGAGGCCTACTTTTCAGGCAAAGTATACAAGTAAAGTTAATACTGTCCAATTAGCACCTCAGATTTGTTGAAATGTCACTTGTGAAGCGAACTCCTCGGTTGATTTAGTTTAATCACAACGATGAAACAGATCTACAGGATAAATCACAAAATCCAAACACTAAGTAATGCGAACTATTAAGCTAAACAAAACACAATATCATAGACTTACGATAATAAGTTCAATTCGCAAGATCTATTGAAGATGCACATGAGTTTTAGCGCCCGAAACGACCTGGCTGACTACCGCAGGTCAGCGGTCCTAGCGAGTCCTCGGTATGTAGCCAGCGGTAGTCCCATCAACTTGTTTTTCCACTCTTTTGTGGTTTTGCTGCAGGGGACTGTCGGCTTCATTACTTTTTTCTTGAGGCAGCCATCTCGGTTTTGTTATGTTCTAAGCTTGAAATAAGTCATTTTGTTTGACAAATTTCTCCTGCTTATTCAACTGTTCTGCTCTCAAGAACACCTAATACTACAGTTGTCTAAAATCACCTGGAATTCTTGAAAAGTTAACAGGTGAAAGGATTTCTTTACGAGTTAAGAAAATTATTATACCTATTGTGCTTGAAACGTGGGAGAATACTGTGACACATATGTCAACAACAGTAATAACAATAGAAACAGCAGAGCAGCAGAGCCCTATAAATGACTGACCTATCGCTTTAACTTTGAAACAAGGAGCCCTCCTGTTCAAATACATTACTGTAGGTTGTGTGACATGTTACATGACATGGTCTAATTTTTGTCAAACCCATATTTAGAGATTACCAGATGTTGGAAAGTGTGTTCATCCTGCCATTAAAGATGGCTTGTTGTTTACCACAAGCTCTCTCCTTTTTGTCTGTTCAGTGCACTCTCTGGCATATTGATACAGGTTGCTTTCTCTCCACTATTCATCGGAGAAACGTGTATATACTGATAATGTTATCTTGATTAATTTGATTCATTGTTCTGATATTTAGAAGGGTACAGTCATGTAATCATTATATGGCGAGGTAGTCCTGAGGTGAATCTGAGTATCTGAGTATCCTGAGTGGTTGTTACTAACTTGATTAGGACTTTTCCTTACAGACTGTCTCCACGGATTAAGCTGTGTATTTTTGTTCGCAAAAGCCACTTAATTCTAAAATTAACAACTTTGGTCTGAAAACTAATTATTAGCCTGGCTTGCTAGAGCTGTACTGGGGAATATTGCACTTTGGTTGTTTATGTTTTACACCTCATAGAAATAGTTCTGTACTGCCGTGACCTTTGGCCAATATTCCCCACTACAGCCCTCAAGCTTGCTTAATAAGATGTTAGTCTACTCCTTTAACCTACTTTAGGTACAGTAGATACATGTGTACTGTTGAATGATTACACTGTACACCCACTGCATCTCAGGAATTATGTGACATTTTTCAGTAAGCCTTGGAAAAATGTTTGGATATTTGATTATTATTTTCCCAGGCATGTCATCAGTATTGGATGTCCCATGAATTTTACTATGCCTGTGCAATGATGTTCCTGTTCTCTGTCTCTCACATTGTTGTTGTAAGTAAATGCCATTTAATTAGTATTTTTTTTTTGTACATATCTGGGTAACATCTGTTTTGTGAACTTATTCTGTTAGCTTATGCTAAAAATTTATTAAAAAAAGGAACAAATTATTTTTATGACTGAATGATGTCTCCAAAGTTTTTATCAACACTATCTAATTATTGTGTACATGGTCTGACTGACTGAATTATTTGGCCATCAATTCTTTAAAACCAATAACTACCTAGTTGACATCTGTTTTGATTGGTTGACTGAATTGACAGTTACCTGAACTTCTTTTTGAAGTGGTGAATATAATATCAAGTTATTCCTTCTCTGTTAAAATTTTGCAGCTTTTGCATCCGTCGCAGACTTTTGATCTAAATTACATCAGGCTGTTTCGCACATTGGCTTCAACAAGGTAATGATAACCAGACTAATTTCCCAGTATGATTCTAAAAGTAACAGAATTTTAGAGGCTGAAATGTTCAAACAAAAAGGAACCCTCAGTCTTTTCATCCGTTTTTTTTAAAAGGGCTTCAAGTTTGAGTCACTTGGTTTTTCTGAACCCAGGTGGTTGAGAGTGACTAGCAGCTAACTTCTCCTTACAATAATAATTATCACCCCTGAATCAAACATTGAGGTCCTGTGAATTTAAAAGAAATGTCAGTGCCAACTACATGTAAAGGAGCTCTTGACTGTGAAACAAAATTAATTCTCCCATCAATACCATAGGACTAGTGTATAGAAAACAGCGTGGAGAATATGCACACTGATTTAACGGGGCTAAAGGGTTTTAAAGGGTTTTAAAGGATTTGTCTCAGAGGACAAACATGATTTCAATACTGTCTTGCGGGTCTGGGTTGTGTAATCATGAATTCACTCAGACTTTTTTATAGATGCTCATCTTCCTTGTGAATATGTGTTTCATTGCTTTGCCAATGAGGGAGACAAAAATTTTCTTCTAATTCTGACATACAAAGAGATACATAGAATGCTACTACAGGAAAGTAGTGGTATATATCTTGAGCAGTTATTTGGCGAAAACAAATTCAGACCAATGGGGAGAATATTGGTTCAGTTTTGTCCACTAAATTAAAAGTCACAGGCAAGCTCTTAATATTAACTTTGGAGTACATGTTATTTCCAAAAACTGAAGGAAAAAATTAATACCATAAAATATTTTTTCCTGTAGCCTTTTAATCTATTTTGTGCTTTTAAAACTAATTTTTTAGACACCAGTTACTGCCTCAGATATCCCAGCTGTTAGCTGGTGTGGATGGCATTCCTGACATTTGGAGGCAAACTGGACGGCCTTGTATTCCCAGACTGGTGTGTTCCCTGAGACAGGTCAGTATATCTTCTTTATTATTACTCATTGGTTAGGGTGATTTAATTTATGTGTTGATCAAATGGAAGCTACAAAATCCCCCTGGGCATTGTACCAAGTGAGCTGGGTATGTAATGACCCAACTGACTGAGTACAAAACAACTGGGTACGAAATGACCATGAGTACAAAACAACTGCTAACCCCAAACAAGTATTAGACTGATATAGTTGCGTGAACCTTCAATTGGCTGGTAAAGATGGAATTTCACAAAAATATGATTTTGTTTTTTAATTAGCAATAAGAAATACCAAGTTAAATGTAGATGCACAAAATTAATATTACCTTAAATGAAGACTGTTTTACTATTTTAGCGTGTTCCTTTCAGGGATCCTTCACAAGTGGTAAGTTTTGTTATTGCAACCTGAGATCCAAGATGCACATGTGTGTAGAACAGGCATTGTACTGTTGTAACTCTTAGTAATAACATCAACTTGTTTTTTATTTCACTTTGGGGAATCAGTATAAGCTGTCTGAAAGCCTGTTTATGAAATTCAAATCCTCGTGTGAAATGATCATAGAATTAAATTTCCATTGTTTAATTGGGCATTGGTTCTACAGATTTGACTGCTGGTAACTGCCCAGCTTATCCTAGTTTCTGTGACCTCGATGCTCCTGGAATATTGGGAATACTTCCCTAGTTTGAGATGTTTGACTGGGGACTATGGTGGCCTGTTTAAGCATGCATCCAGCACATGCAAGCAAATGATCTGCTAAGTGACAGAAGGTGATGACAGGTCTTTGACCTCTGCCATTTCTCACACACCCACTTTCTATGCTTGTTTCCACTTACCTAACTAGGGGCTTCATCAGATGAAGCTAACCAGTCACATGTGTCACTTTTTTTTTTGTTTGCTTTCCAGAAATTTTCCTAATTTATTTACAGTTTAATCAGACCTGAATAAAATGAAGATATAGGTTAAGAACTGAAAGCTTTGATAGATAATGAAATTCTGGTTTAGAGAGAACCTTTGTGGGACTATACATTTTTGACAAATAATAACTGTGTTTGGCAAATTACCTGCAGAAAATTTATCCAGGTTGCTTGTAGATGGTTTTCAAGTACTTGCTTTAAAACAGAGAAATACACTGGATTGCACACTGTACTTTGTGAGAATAAAGCATTCTGTGTAACTTAGTATTAACAAATAGATTCGGTGTTGCCACGCATTTTTTCAGTCATAGATCAGAGATGACATCAAAATGTGGTTGGATTGAAAAAGTGACACAGCTGTGTGTGTCACTGATGCAACATGGATTACTATTTCTTTTATATAATAGAGAAGCAAAATGTTGTTAATGATGATGTGGTCTTTGCATCTGTTCTCTAACAGAACATGAGTTAGAACCAAAATCCAAATGCATGTATAATTCAATTTATTGTATAGACTTTGAAATAAAAGCTAGCGCTAAGTAGTCGCGACGTTTGGACCTCTCTGGGGTCATTTTCAAGTGAGTAAGTTTTCTAAATCAGCATAAATATGTTGAAGCAAGTTGAAGACGATAAAATGTGGTGAACGTTAAAATATACAATGGAAGGGAATAAAAGAATAAAGTAATTATTCAACTTGCTTCAACATATTTATGCTGATTTGGAAAACTTACTCACTTGAAAATGACGTCAGAGAGGTCAAAACGTCGCGACTTCTTAGCGCTAGCTTTTATTTCAATGTCGATTTCTAAGAAACTACTTATCAAGTTATTGTATAGAGTCATATAAAAGTTGAACTTACTAAAAGACTACAAATTGGGCCCAAAACCAGGGCTGTAAGTCATAATGTTCCTTCCTAGGTAAATTGTAGATACTTACATTACTAATCATAAGACTAGACTTGATGACTGTGTTGAAATATTTTATGTTTCAAATGCAGTCAGGAAAAAGCCAGGTTACGTATGCCAGCAAGACAAAGGGAAAGCAGCAAGTAAGTTAAAAAAAAGAACAAAACAAATGTAGGGACCTTTCAGTCCACCGTCAAGCTTATGGTTATAACGCCAGCACAGCTTAGCTAATTAATTTTTTGTTTCCTTCATTTTTGGAAGTTTGTTTAATTTTAAACTTACAGATTCTGTATTTATTTCAGATCATCACCCCACAAAAGAAACTTCAGCATTCTGTAGAGGATCAGCTTTACAGCATAATGAGAAAGGCCAGGCTCCTAGGAAGTCTTAGGTGGGATGAATGACTAATGTACAGTTACACTTGTAAAACAGACGAACCCTAAATGTCTGCATATTAGCTGTAAGTAACCCCTTCTGTCATGGCTTAAGGTAATTCCTTAGTATTTCATTGCACATCCTCACTGCGAATAATTTGACTCGTAACTAGCACGCGGGCATGGGAAATTGATGGATGGCTTTCTTCAAAAATAGCTAGACGCGTCTTGTATTCCCAGTATAGGAAAAGGAACAATATTCAGTTTATGAATATTGTTCCTTATATATGAAATGAAATATATGAACTTCATATATTTCATTGTATCTAATATTCAGTTTCATCAGAATAACAAATTTTTTTAAAAGATAGTTACATTTATGTGCCTCCTTTGTTTTGTTTTTTTGTTGTTGTTGTTGTTTTTGGCTTGTTTGGTTTTTGCATTAATTTTCAAATGTTGTTTTAAATCCACAGTTCAAGTTCCCTGTTCACTGTAAACTCAAGCCACGCCTTTGTTCACGTGCAGCCATGCTCAACCAACTTTGACCCCGTCGCAGTTCTCCTAAACACTCTGGCCAAACCGGCTATTAACACTAAATGGGGTAGGGAAAACGTTGCTCACTCCAGTGTAACATGCAATTTTTTTTTTTTGTCTACAAGAACATGTAAAAAATATTTTTTATCGCTGCATTGTCGCTCAGGGAGAAAGAGCGGGAAAGAACGTTTAAGGCATGCAGTCAACAACGCGGGCTCACGCGTGCGAGCTATAAAATTTAGCGGAATGTGTATTGCGAAAATAATAAGGAGCTGGCATTTAAAACTGAGGCATTTTGTTGTCGTCGAAGGAATTATCCTATTTCCGAAGTCTTTAAGGAGAAAATAATTTTCGAAAATATTTAGGGGGTGTAAAAAGTTTTTGGAGGTTGTTCTACGAGAGAAAACCGGCAAGGAAAACCTCGGCTCCAGGCAACAGAATAGAAATTAACATGCAAACGACTCAAAATCCGTGTTTCCGCGCCAAAATCTAGCACGTGCTCAGACGTTATTCAGCTCTGTCACCTAGGCGCATAACTTGCTGTAAGTTTTCCTCCTTGCCATCGGACGATCGTATGCATGCGCCCTCGTGAAGGATTGATATGAATATGGAGTCTGCCGGTCGAGAGGTTTCAATGCCGGTCTACCTCACTGCTATCTGTTTAGCCTACCAACGAGCTCTTGTATTTGGGTTCCCCTTGCGACAGCTGCCTATTTTACCATCGGCAGCGTCTTATGGAAAAACTTAAAGAAATTCCCTGGATGTCCGGTCCTAATTCTTTCTAGTTCAGAACTGTTGCCTTCCTTGATGAAAGAAAACTAAATCAAAACACAAGTAAAACTGGCTTAAGCAAAACAAGCTCTCTTCCGTTTGGATGCGTAACACTTGTTACAGGCATTTTTAAGCGTAATTGCCTCACTTTTATCGAAGATGGCAGATGAATGAACTCAAAGTTGTTTCTTTTAGACATGGTTTGATGCTACTCTGGTTTAAAGAAATCGAACCAACGTTTCCACACTCCCGTGTAGCGTTCGGTCGTTGAATTGTAATTTTCCCGGTTACATTCATTAAATCTTTAAACTAGAGTAGCATCAAACCATGTCTGATCGTCCGCCTGGTTGTTGTGCGAACTTTAACATATCTTAAGTGTCTTTTCTTGTCCTATTTCTTGCTGGTTCTTGAATCCCATGACTTAATGACTAGTTTTTGATAATTCTGCCGTAACTGTTCCGCAGTGGAGACGAGCCCTCTTCTGAAGAATAGCAAATTCCTTAAGAGAGAATTCTTAGAGTCAGGAGGGGACAGTGAGGCATATTCCGCGGATGACGTGTTGTTCCGAGACTACTTGAAACAGCAGATTGATCACTTGATGACCGGAGATGCTGGACGGGATGGAGTGGCTGAAGGACGCAGAGGAACTCATGTAGAGGTACTATACAATAGTTACAAATTTTACGATAAGATGCGGAAGAATGCATGTTGAGGTACTACCATATTACAACGTTATTTTTCACCCCTGGATGTAAGATAATTTTACTGAAGTAGGAGAGGTTACGGAAAATCCTGGAAATGACTGAGAATGAGCTTTTAGAACGTGAAAGCAAGATTGAAATACCGTGACTGAATGATCGCGTTTATAAAGCAACTTCCCAGTTTGGAAATATCGAAAGAGTACTGTGTAATGGTCTTTGAAAGTCATGAAATTTGGTAATGATACTGTTTGTGTACCAGCGAACATACGCCCATGTTTTCTTTGGTGTGACAAAGTTGAAATGGTAAATTGACCACCGTAACGATTACAAAAGCTGACGTTTCGAGCGTTAGCCCTTCGTCGGAGCGAATAGAGGAATTGTGGGTTGTGTGTGCTTTTAAAGGCAGAAAATGGAGCTACGTTATTGGTGGGAACATGGCAACGAGAAAAACACGAATAAATTAGTGGAATGAAAAGCGTTCGTTGATCCCTGTGGGATTTAGACTGCCGGTTTGAAAGATGAGCTTTTGTTCAAGAGTTTTACGGCTTTCCGTGCTACCTAAGTGTAAGGAAAGACCGCAGATTGCCATATGTTGCTTAGAATGATTAGGTAAATTAGAGTGTCTAGCGACTGGTTTCGATGTGTCTTTGTCATTCTTTTCCACGTCGCGAAGGTGTTCTCGGAATCGGTCACCTAGTCTTCTGCCTCTTTCGCCAATGTTTTTCGTTTTGCAATAAGTGTAAGTTATGCAATAGGTTACATTGGCGGAGGTGCATGTGAAGTGATGGGTGATCTTAATGGATCGTTTGGGTTCTGATATTTTATCAGTGTTGTGAGTGAAGAGAGAGAGAGAGAGAGAGAGAGAGAGAGAGAGAGAGAGACAACTAGGGTGTCAGCCAGAGATGTAATTTCCAACTACGGAAATGTTTTTTTTTTCCCTAGCCTAAGAACTCTCTTTTTCCAAAGTCGTCTTCATCAATTATAAATGAGTTAATGTCCTCCCTTTCAATTTTTTTCCCCTTTACTAACGGGATCAAATCGATAAATCGATGATAGCCTTCGGATTGACGCTATGTCAAACAGACATCCGTCCCAGATACTTTATTCTTAGCTTTATTAACATATCCCAAAGACTGGACCAGAAACATTCTTTCTGTACCCTCGTATCTCATGTTAACAGTCATACATACCACTTTTTCTTTTGGTGCCTTACATGCGCTGATACCTGTGTTTGACATGCGTAACTCGTGTCCATTGGTGATGCAGGTTCCATCTTGCCGTCTGTGGGCACGTGTATCGTTTGCCCTCTATGAATTTTTCTTGACTCCAAAGAGTGAATTGACTGCTCCTCTCAACGCGATGGTATCTAACCTGGATCTCGACATGAAATTCTCTGAGGCGTAAGTACTGCTGTGTTTTATCCAAGTTTTTAATGGGGGCAGGGGAGAGGGGAGCATTACATACCATCCCCATAGAAATACTGCTGCTGTAATTTTTTTGTTTTGTTGCAAGTTTCTTTGTTTTGTTTTGTTTTCGTTTTGTTTTTGGAAATAGGAGTGTCACTCAAATCCAAGGTGACCAACCTCTGAACTACAGTTAAAGTTAGCGGCATGTAATAGCTTGGAGTTTCTGTTTTGTTCTGTTTTCTTTTCCGGTCTTTCTCTGGTCTACAAGAAACGTTTTTGAGGCAAAAACTCCCTTTGCGAGGATGGCCCATAAAGGTCATCCCAGAATATCCTCCCACTGAAGTGAGGTAAATGTGGCAGTAGCTTAGAGAGGGAGATAGTATAAATGGTCATTTGTCTGTCGGGAAGAGATACTGATGGTTTAGGGAAAAGGTGAATAATAGGCCTTTTGCAGCTAGAGATCACGTGCTTAGATACCGCATAGCAACGCCATACTGGAGAGCAAGCACTCCAGTTATCTCAGACAGTATAGAGGTCACAAAGGTCTGCATTCAAACAAAGAATACAGCGGATAACAGGTCAAAAGGTATCCCAATTCGAGAAATCCAATAAGAAGTGATCAACAGCTTCTCCTGAGTGTATCAGCAGAAAAATCACACCAAAATTCGTTTTTCGCTGATACACTCCAAGGAAGCTGTTGATTAAAACTTACAAGATTTCTCGAATTGGGATACCCTTTAACTTGTTATCCGCTGTATTCTTTGTTTGAATGCAGACCTCTGTGATCTCTATTTTGTCTGAGATCACTGGAGTGCTTGCTCTCCAGTATGGCGTTGCTATGCGGTATCTAAGCACGTGATCTCTAGCTGCAAAAGGCCTATTATTCACCTTTTCCCTAAACCATCAGTATCTCTTCCCGACAGACAAATGACCATTTATACTATCTCCCTCTCTAAGCTACTGCCACATTTACCTCACTTCAGTGGGAGGATATTCTGGGATGACCTTTATGGGCCATCCTCGCAAAGGGAGTTTTTGCCTCAAAAACGTTACTTGTANAGTATTGGACCGGGCACTGTCCCGAATGGTCCCGAATGATACCGCACTTGTGTCCCTTTGAACTTCAGTCGTATAATAAATCTCTTATTAACCAAGCTTGCTCGGGACCGTACTGGAAGAATATCGGCCCTCGGTCTTTTTTGTACGGACCTCGCTGCGCTCGGTCCGTACTGTCAAGACCTCGGGCCGATATTCTCTCAGTACGGCCCTCGCGCTTGGTTAATAAGATATATATATATATATATCAAGCAGGCAAGTGATGAGAATAAAGAAAAATGTCAATAAGGAGAAGAGTAGTTTATCCAATACCAATAACATCATGAGAATTGTATGGCAGACAGCAAAGACAACTACAAAACTGAGAGATCTTGGTACTTCATGTGTACCTCTTTGTGCGCACAATCTCTCAATAGCCTAGCGTTCATCAAACTACAAAGAGACATACTTGTGGCCTTTGCAACAGAATGGTCATAGTTTTGTGCATTTTCTCCTCAGTACCACCGGGTCCCTGCGGAAGGAGAGGTGCCCTCCGACCCAGTCTCCGAGGAATCTAAGGAGCTCGGAGTTACTCCATGTAAGCCTCACTCAAGTCGTATCACCAGTTTCAGTGCATGCAACTGTGGAAGGATACAAGATCACAGAGAAGATCCTTTTGATCTCAAGGTAGATATTTTTATTGCATACTTTTGCAAAGTAATTTATTTATTTTTTTTTTTAGGTGAAAATACTTATCAAAATTGATGTGAGATGAGTGTGTTTCCGTGAATTCGATTACTGAAATAATTTCTTTTTAAAAAATTGATTAGATCGAATAGAATCCTTCAAACTGACCTTTTCCCAAATAGAATTGAATAGAATCCTTCAAACTGACCTTTTCCCAAAAAAGTTGAATGTCTCTTCATCATGTTTGGTTTTCATGTTAGATCCTCATTCGGATAGGAATGAAGATTTACGTGATGTTATCCAGTGAACACCAACATGGCTTAGGTGTTCAAAGAACTAATCCATGCTTAACAACCATAATAGCATAACAGTGTTCGATAGCACCCAGGTTCAAGATATTTACTGGGTCTCCGGCTTAGCAGCGAACTCGTGCTCGAAAACAGATTCTGGACTTAAAAGCATTATTTGAGAAACCTCTACCTGTTCGGTACTTTCAAAACATTTCTGCTTTTATTCAATGACAGCCTTAATACGGAGCTTGAGGGCTTAAAGTACACTATCACAAGGCGGTCTACTGCAATGCTTTACGTTCATTAATCTACATGGCTCGTTGACAGGGAAATGAGTTTGTTTTGATGTACTCTTTCTAGGCAGCCAACGTGGACTTCTTCAAAATGCTTCAGTCAAAGTGTTGTTTTTCGCTGGTTCATCTGTTCTTTCCATTTCATCCAATCTCTCTCTCTTCAAAAATCTCCCACAAAACCTCAACGGAAATGTCAGATGAGGCCCCCCTCTTGGAGATGCCATCAGAGACAGTTAGTCCTATGAGAGAAGAGGTCAAATCCGGGGAGGGTGGTGGTGAGGGGCAACCGAGTGACGAGACGTCTAACAGTGAGACGCCCGCTGTACCAGTTGCCCCAACAACTGGATCTATTCCCATTCCAAACTCGGGCGTCCCTGCCAGAACGGACAATTTGGGAAGCCTGGGGCACAGTGTCAGTTCTGCATACGGGGCTAGTGGGTACCAATCTACGCTCGAGATGATGAGTCATGAGGGCTCTGAATTTAGGAGTATGCCATCCGAGTTCAAGAGTGTTGTATCCGTGGGAATTCCGGGAGAAATGAGCATGGGGAATTCCCAAGATGTCCTCTCCGCGGTGGGGGAGCACGTTCCCGACTTGCACTCTTTCGAACGATTTTCGTCGCGTGATGAAATGGAACAGATCTATCTAGAAACCATGTTGAACAGTGATTCACCTCCTGGTATTCTACCCCGCTTTCCCTCCTGGTCGCTCTGTCGTCTGGGAAGCGCAAGTACCTACAATCCCGCCAAAGGTCTAGACCAGCCGGGATTTTTCCCGAACAGCAACTATTTGTTGGCTTGGGACATTCCTTTGCTGAATGAAAGCCAGTCCGATTTAACGAGCCAATTTGATGGAAAGGGTAAGCACTTGGGGTCTAAGCAAATGACTGAAGAGGCGTGGCCGACGCTGAACGAGCTCCCTTCCGCCGGAAGTAATGTTTCGTCACTTCCTTTGCACCAGGCTCTGACTTATGCTCGTCGCCAGTGTTCAGATTATAAAGCAAATTCCCTTCCATTGATATCGAGTGCAACAACAGGGAAAGGCGCGTCTGGAGCCTCTCGGCAGCGTGGTAGGACCTCCCGTGAAGGGGCACTACCGACAGTGAGAGCCTATATAGGACAAGAATATGAGTGCCCTAGAGGACATCGGTGAGTAATGTCAAAATCTGTTTCGGAATTGCGCTTCTCACTTGTAAAAGTTCGCCAGTCAAAAAGTGTATTCTTCTTGGCAAAAGTTTTCTGCTGAAGATTTTTGCACTGTTTCAATGTGGCAGATTCATTTTACGCTGACCCTTTCTTGCACATTTCTTGGTGCGTTTCTGTGACTCATGTTTTGTTTTAATAAATTTCTTAGGTAAAATGCTGTAAAACCAAATGCGTTCAATCATTTGATCAGCATCACACATATTCTTTGATGTTCAGAGAGAACGCATGCTGGAAAATGTCGAGTTTCATAAATTCATTTAATTGCAGCTATGTCGTACTTTTACCTACTTTTAGTTTTGTTTTCATCAATCATTTCTGTCAAACCGGCATAACCATATTATCGGCTATTTTAATTGCAATTTTCTCTCAAAATTACCAAATATTCTTTTCAGTTATACCTTACCTGCATTCACACTTCACTCTCCAGTAATATATAGATTTAGCCAAGCCTAAAAGCGGAGCTCCCAAGTTCGTAATATTAATGATAACATAAAAGATTTGCATTTGCCAAGACTCGCCTGAGACACCCCTCCCTTCGTTTTGATAGTCTCCCCTACCCTACCCGTGCAATCTGAAGGCACGTACGTACGCTCGGTCAGTCACGTGACAACCAAACGAAAAGAGGTTGACCATATTCCATGGGTATGGGGCTCTGCCCCACGCGCGCGAA